CCTGACTCTTAGAATAAGATCTTTTTTTTTTAACCCGAGGAGATATTTTTTTTTTAGAGAGAGGGAGGGAGAGAGAGAGAGAGAGACATGATTGGTTGCCTCCCATACGTGCCCCGACTGGGGAGTGAACCCACAACCTTTTGGTGTGCAGGACGATGCTCCAACCAACTGAGCCACCTGGCCAGGGAGCATGAGATCTTGCTGTGAAGGAAACTTTTTCTTACAATAACCATAATCCAAAGTTAGCTAGAGTCACTGACTCATTCAACAAATAGTTGAACACTTATCCTGAATCAAGCACTGGGGACACAGCAGTGAACACAATGGACAAAAATTCCTGTGTTCATGGAGTCTCTATTCTAGTGTTCTCCTGGCTTGGTCTCCAGAAACTCCTTGAGTCTGCTTTTGTTAAACACGAAGATCTATTGCTTGGTGTCTTTGAGCTGGATCTGCTCAAGAAAGCATGCTGCCCTGGCCGGGTAGCTCAGTTGGTTAGAGTGTCATCCCGATACCATCAAGGTTGCAGGTTAGATCCCTGGTCAGGGCACATACAAGAATCAACATGAATGGTATCAATAAGTGGAGCAACAAATCGATGTTTCTCTCTCCCTCCCCCTCTCTCTAAAGTCAATAATTTAAAATTTTTTAAAAAGGAAAGCATGCTTTTTCCAAAAGCCATTATGATAGGCTTTTGCTGTGCTTTCTTAACCCTTCCAAAACTCTAAGCCCAGTTAGCTCCAGTCCTCCTAATCCCACTGCTAGAATTTCCTGCTCCCTGTCTCTTCTTGCCAGTGAGTTTTGTAGCCATCTATTCCTGGCCATTGTTGCCGCTCAGATAAACCATCACAACATCTTGAATGTTTAATTACAGTTCATTTACAAGAACCAAAAATTCCACATAGGAATTCATGAAGCACTCATTAAGCAAGAAGTCCCCCCACACACAAAAGTCCCAGTTTTTTCCTAAGAACATCCCCTTTCAAGTTACTGCCCAGTTTTCCTTCTGCCTTTCAGTGGTAATGTTCCCCAAAGTGTGAAATTCACTGTTGGGACTACAGCTCACTGACCAAACCTCTGCATGCTGATCCTCTCCATTGTATTGCTACTGTTTTGGGGACAGTTACTTGTGCTCCAGGTTTTAAAATCTATTGTCCTCTTAACTCTCACCTTAGACTTTGTCAACCACAGGATAGTCACAGTGTGCCAGGTCCTCTGCTAGGTGCCAAGGGTATGTTTTCAGTCTTTGAAAAGTAACTCTTATTTTTGTAAGAACTGAATATTTAAGGTAATATTTTTTATTTTCACTTTGCCATCTCTGCCCAAGAGTCCTTTGTTCCCAAGAGTCTGCAGCATGTCTCTGATTTCACCCTGTGGCGTTACTCTGCTGCATTGTGTTATGAGCACCTCCTCTCCATTACCTCTTTCCCTGGCTTTGGGGCAGTGCTCTTGCTTCACCCTCCCAGCTTGCAGCTCATTCCCTCCACAGCCTTGGAGGGTCTGGCTCTTTTTCCATTTTATTACCTCCTCTGACTGTGGCCCACCTATCTGCTGATAACTCTGAAATCTGTTCTTCCTCTGAACTCCAGGTGTGTTTTTCCACTTGTTTTGACCTCTTCTTGAGAATCTCACATTCAAACTCAAATACTATAAAAAAGAATTTATTTCCTGCAAACCTCTTCTTATATTTTTATTTTCTAACTAGACACTCAGGCTCAAACCTTGTTGGTGCATTGACTTGCCTTTCTCTTTCGTATTCTGGCCCCTTAGATCCAATTAACTAAAGTACAGTTGACCCTTGAACAACACGAGGGGTAGGGGTGCCGACCCCTGTGCAGTCAAAAATCCACATACTCCCCCCAGCTTTTGACTCCTCCAAAATGTGGTTGTCCCTCAGTATCTGCAGGGCATTGGTTCCAGGGCCCATTAACCCATGGATGCTTAAATCCCCTGAATAAAATGGCATAGATCAATGCACACAGTCGACCTTCCACATCCCAGACTCCCAACCACAGGCTGAAAACAACAGGTATTTACTGGGAAAAAAGCCCTGTACGGGTGGACCTGGGCAGTTCACACCTGCTCTCAGGGGCCTACAGGAGCCCTGATGATTTGCCACCAGGTGTCTGCTCAGCTGCCTCTTATTCCCACTGCTTTGGACTCACTTCTTGTTTCAACAGTGTATTCGAAGTACCTACCGTGAAAAATGAGTTTTCTAATTGACGTCCCTCCCAAAAAATCTCTTGTCACAGAATTCTTTCTAAGAAAAATAAATAAAGCTTAACTATTCCTCAGCTTGGAAGCCATTTAAGTAAGTCCACACTGAAGACCGAGGAATTTGTGCTGAAGGAAGGTGGTGCTAGAGCACGACACAAGCTGGTTCCCACATGTTATGTCATGTTGGTTCCGAATTCTCTGCCTCCTTTTAGCCGAAGACTGGCTCTGGCCCATTCTGCTGTAGTCAGAAGCTCTGCCTCAGCTTTTACTTTCAGAATTCAAATTTCTTAAAGGAGAGTTTTGCTTATTCAAAACAAAACTGAAGTCAGTGTTCTAAACTGTATTTTGCCACAGTGAATGACATTTCATAGAAACTGTGAGGAAATTAACACTTCCTGCTTTTCACCAGTAATCGGATATGATGGGTTTGTGAACTCTAAACTGTATATCAAAAACTTGGTTTTTAATTGTAAAATTTACAGTTGTATGTAAACATTAAGGATGTTATTTAATGAATGCATTTGTAATTCTCAACTACTTTCACTTTTATAATAAAGGGTCAGTATTTATAATATGAACATTCCTCCAAAGGTCACTACTATAATCCTTTGTTTAACATCTTTCCAGAAATTTCATTGCCTGTAAGTATCTTTTTATCAAAATTAATTGTACTAAGATATGGTTCCGTATTCTCTTTCCATGGGACACTGCATTGGCGATGTTTTTGTATTGATGTGTGAAAGTCTTGTTTTTTTCAGTGAATCTGTGATATTCCATTATATGGATATAAGGTAACTGGTTTAACCAATTCCTTGCTGATGGATTGTTAGGTGAATTTGTGGCATTGGGTATCTTAGTACTTATGTCAAAATTGGTTGTTAAGCTTCTTTGTTGGTCACTAGTTACCACCCCACGCTCGGTTTTTGTGTTCTGGCCTTTCTCAAAGGGTCAGGGAAGCACCTATGTCCTTGGGGCCCCTTTCTGTTACCTCCTCAGGATCCTGCCCTGACCATGTTTGTCATAGTGTTTCTCAGTGTCTGAATGATGCCTTCTATCATGGAATATAAGGCCCACAGAGGAGGATTGTCTCCTTACTCATGGCCTGATGGTACTCCCCGCACCTAGGACAGTCCTCGCACCTGGCAGGCAGATGGTTTTGAATGAGTAACATACATGCAGCTGGTGGCTATCAGCTTATGAATGAACTAATCAGAGTATCATCCTAGTACCAAGAAGCGTAGCTTCTTAACCATTCCACTTTTTACCCCTTAGCCCTTTCAGGTATGAGAACATGGCTCTCCTGTTTGGAATGTGTTTGTCTTTTCCTAGAAATTTAAGTTTTTATTTGTTGAACACTTACTGCCTTACTATGAACTAGTCGGGAATTTACTCGTTAACTTATTAACTCATCGCATCCTCAGTCACCCAACTGTGATATTTGTTCATGAACTTGAATTGCATCAACGTTAATTTAATGGGTCATTGAATTCGGATTCAGGTGTGTGCGTGATCAGACAGACATGAATGTGTAAGTTTACCGGCTCTTCTCAATGAACACTGTCTGGGCATGATACAGGCACGGGATCTGCTATTCTTGCAGCTGGTGCTCATTCCTGAGTGCCTCTCAGAGTACGTGCAACTTGTCCCTGAGGGTCACTTTAGTGTCTAGAGAGAAATAAAAATTTTGAAATGTGGCCAGCTCGGAATGATGGTCAGCTAAGGACATTGGTTAGCATCAACAACAGGAACAACGGACTGGGTTAGTCTTTCTACTGATGTATGCCCACCTCCAGGAGCTTTCTTTTCCTAAGGGGAATTTGGGCAAAAAGGTGTGATTTATCTTTTTTCCTTTGTGCACTACCTGACGTTAGAACTTAACCCTTCTTGTTGTCATAATTCTAATTCTTTTGTATTGGTTTCTCATCTGACTCCTTTTGGAAAGGGGTAAATTTCATCGGGCAGCATGGTTATTATCGAACCGTAATTGTTAAGTAAACCTCAGAAGGCTTTGGGTGGCATTCCAGACATCGAGAGTGTAAGTTGATGCTCTGATCTGTTACCTTCTGCAATACTCACCTGCTCAACCTCTTGCCATTAGTTACAAGGTTGGAAACTTCAGAGGTGATAGTGTAGGGACATTAATTGGAAACTACTACTGTCAAGGTTGCCTTGAAACCTGGATATGGCAGCCAATAAGTCTCCTACCACCATACACTACGATGAAATTATATAGTCGCTTAACTGTATATATTTCCCTGTCCTTGGGGATTAACAGATAGAAAGAAGACAAACCTTACTAGCTTTTTTCAATATAGAAATTGTCAAATATCTATCAGGATATAGAGAATGGTGTAATGAGTCCTCATGGCCTCTCAGCTACGTGTGGCCATTCTTGGCTCTATATCCCTGGCCCCTCCTCCTCTCCCTTTGCAAATCCTAGATCTTATTGAATCTATAAATAGATGAAAATCTTGATTTTGATACTGGCATTGTAGTGAACTATTGGTTTAAACTATTTCTCAGCCATCTTGTCAGTCCACCAGGGATGAGAAGACAGTTCCTACCCAGCTAGGTGGAGCCCTTCTTTTATAACATTTTGGCCACTAGGCAAGGAAGAAGGATCCCTCAGTGGACTTAGTTTTATTCAAGAAAATAACAAATTTATCATATGAAGGATTCTTTAAAAAAATCATTTGTGCTGGAGACATCTCAACCTAAAGCTGCCTGGTGTTTATTTCAGCCAATTGCAGGATTAAAACTTTTTTTTTTTAACTTTGCATCTATAGGAATCCTATGAGGATGGCTGTGAGGATTATCCAACTCTATCAGAATATGTTCAGGATTTCTTGAATCATCTCACAGAGCAGCCTGGCAGTTTTGAAACTGAAATTGAACAGTTTGCGGAGACCCTGAACGGCTGGGTTACCACAGACGATGCTTTGCAAGAACTCGTGGAACTAATCTATCAACAGGTAGGTTGGCTGGTAGCATGGGATAGTCATCAGGTAGCTTCCTTGAAGCCTGAGGATGGTGGCTACTCCGTGAGGGAGGCCAGGTTCATGTGCACTTGCCTCCACACTCGTTAATTCTTTATGGTTCATGGGAGCTTTGAGGTGTCTGTTGTATAAAATTCCTATTATTGGGGACCCAGGTCTGGAGCCGGACTGCAAATTCACCAGGGTAGCCAAGGCTCTGTGCAGGCAGATGGGAGGAGCTGTGGGCATCTGTGAGGAAGGCTCCGTAGTGTCAGACCTTTTCCCACCCCTTTCTGTTCTGGGGGGTCTGAAATTAATAGTACATTTAAAAGACTACAGTATTTTCTCCTAGCAATATTGGTGTAGGGGAGAAAAAAGATCATGGGAGAACTTTCTTGTCTCATAAATAGTCCTTTTTAAAAAAAGCCAAACCACAGGACACCGTCTTGTTTTAATATTTCTGCTTGTCTTAGAGTTTTCAAGGATTTACATCTCAGTTCCTTGAAAGTCTAATATCTGGATTGTTTTTCATACAAGGTTAGTTTTGATACTAGCAGATTGTCCCTGTCACATTAGTGCTATTTTAAGGGGGATAAATAGACAACACTTTTTTAAGACATTTAAGGTCGTGTGAGACTGAGAAAAACGGAGCAGGAGGTGAAGATAAGTGGAACCTTCGGGTTCTTTACATCACTGCTCAAGGATCAGCTAAACCTGGAATTTATTGGGGGGGTTACTATAGCAAGAGGTTGATTTTTTATTTTTTTGCCACCTAGTATTTCATTTGACTATATTTCCGATTTGCTCTGGGTTGTTACTGGACCCTAGTATTCCTTAGCCTTGCACTTTTCAATCTTTTTCATTGCATGGCACATAAACTAACCACTAAAAATCTGCGGCACACCAAAAATACATTTTTTGCCGATCTGACAAAAAAATAGGTATAACTTTGATTCATTCATACCTGCCAGTTCTTGCTGTGTTGGCTGCTGTCATTTCTTCTCTGACAGTCTAAGGGAAAGGGTTCGGTGCCCCTGACTGAATAGTCAGGCATTGCGTGTTTAAAATTTTTGCACACACCGGTTGAAAATCACTGCCCTAGCCAACTCTCAGGTTTCCAGAAATGCCTGAGATTGCAGGAAGATAGAACTGCTCTAGTTGTCCAGATACCTACTTTTGGCCTCTAAATGGGTTGGAAAAGAATGAAAGATAAGAAAATGGAAGAATTATACTTGGTTCTTAAACTTTTTCTGGTTTCTTGTGTAGTTTCATCTCTTCAGTAGGCCGCCCAATCACAGTTCAGGGCGGGTGGAGAGGCTGTCACCTGACAAACTGCATTTCCGTGCTGTCCTAATACCAAGTCTATTTTAAGTTTTAACATTCTGTGATCAGTGATACACAGATTTACCAACGGTTCTTAAATTCCATTGAGGGAATTTAGTCATAGTTACCAACAAAGGAAGACCTGTTGTTTAAAAAAAAAAGACATTAAATCTTCATATTCAACTTTGATTCTTCCTCAAATACCATTAAATGACAGGATGGGGGTTTCAAAAGGCCAGAAGCCATAAGGACTGGGGTGGGGAAAGGAGAGGGAAGTCCCAGTTTGGAAACTAGAAAGCAGGTGGGGTGAGAGGTAACTGACTTGGCAGATCTAAATAAGTTGAGTTCTAAACCAGCGAGGATAGTTGAGAGTCTCCCTGACCTATGATGCAGAATTTTGAAAAGATTCCAGGATAAGGAATGAGGCAGAAAGATTGCTAGAAAATCTAAAAAAATTAGACCCTCTAGATCTTTCTGCACTGAGTAGCCAGTTTGAAGTTTTATTGTAACCCTTCTTGAGAAATTACTGAAGAGAGTACTCCAGCAAAACACAGAATTAAGCCAAGGATGAAGACATGGGGAGGAGGAAACGGAATTTTACAGAACTGTGTGTCACCCATGTGGTGGTCAGAGGAGATCCTGAGAGCAGTCATGTGCGTGGCAGTCGGGGAGGGGCCGGGCTTCACTGGAGTAGGGCAGAGGCTTTCCCTGGTAAGAGGAGCACAGGAGCGAGGTTGAAGATACTAAGAAATTTACAAACTAGTGAGTTTAAGAATAAACCAATGAGAAGTATATAAGAAAACAAAGTACTACAAAAGAAATTGTGTGTCTAGGGAAAACAAAATTGTACAAGAAAGAAATAAGTATAAATACATGGTTCAGCCGTAAATGGAAACACAAAACTAATAAGTAGAATCATGGTATTTCCGCAGTGGCAGACGGAAGCGTGGGGAGTAGAGGGACGGGGTGGGTTAAGCGGAGTGAAAACTGCTCACCTTCCTCGGCGGGAAGCTAGTAGTAATGCCTCAGCTGACAGATCACAGCTCATGCAGATAGAAGGTAAAACCTTGTATCTGCAAGAATCGAAGTGGTTGTCTGAGAGTAAAATCAAGGTGTAGTAGGGGAAGTAGGGAACCTTAATAATAACCATCCTGGTAGAACTTCTTGTCTTTAAATTGTGTGTGATCATTTTAAATGTAAACTAAAAAAAGGCATTACCAATAATGGGGAGAGTATATATTTTTAAATTTTGTCTGCTATAGTATCAGATACACATTCATGGTGTCAGGAGAAGCCAGTCTTTCTTTGGTGAGAAATGATCAGGGTCCTGAGTGAGCAAGGAAATAATTAGAAATAAAAAGATCCAATAATTATAAAGTACTTGCGACATGCCAAGCAATGCTGAATACTCGACATGTAGTTAGCTCATTTACTCCTCAGTGGTTGTGTGATATTACTCTTATGCCCATTTTATACATATCTGAAAGTGACTTGTCTGAGGTTACTACAGCTAGTAAATAGAAGGAGCATAGGGTTGGAAGGGAATCAGGATATTTGTTAGATCTAGACTCTGGTTCACTACCTTTGTGACCTTGGCCAAGTCCCTTAACTTCTTAATGTGTATTTTTCTTACCTAACTTTTGGTAGTGAGCTATGTTCTCTATTTAAAAACTATAGTGAGAGTTAAACTTCTTGAGTACTGCTTTGGCTGTATCATAGTCTTTGATATGTAGTGTTTTCTCACTGTCCTATTTTTTTTTAAATGGCTTATCCATTTTAATTTCCTCTTTACCCTGGGTGTTTTTGGAGCATTCTTTAGATATTAATCTCTCACACCAGGTACCATTAATCAGCTCTTTAGGAATCAAGAAACTGAAGCTAAGGGAGGTTTAGTGATGTCCAAAGTCACATAGCACAAGGCCTCACTCTGGACTGCTAGATGCCAGAGTTGGTGCCCTCCTATCACTGAGAAACAGCACAGAGCAGTAGTTTGGCAGATACTCGTATCATAATTTGCACTATGCAGCCAGGTACCTGTACATCTTTTGTGCAAAAATGGGTTAGTTTACCCAAGCTGGGCAGCTTAGTTGGTTAGAGCATCGTCCGACATGCCAACATTGTGGGTTCGATCCCCCAGTCAGATCACATACAAGAATCAACCAATGAGTGCATCAATAAGTAGAACAACAAAATCGATGTTTCTCTCTCTGAAATCAATCAATTTTTAAAAAATTTTTTAAAAATGGGTTAAAAATAAAGACATATTGTCTGTCTGCTTTCCAGGAAGCTCAGGTAAATGATGGGGAGAACTGGCTTAACCCTTTCCCTTCGTATTTGCTCTGGTTCTTGGTGTAAGGGTGGGAGGGAGAGTTAATTGCCTGAGGCCTGGCGGTTACAGAAGACGGGAACGTTTTTCTTTACAGGAAGGTGGTTTGGGGAGTAGAAATGTTTTTCCTTTCTGGGATGTTGCTGTTTGCATTAATGACGATTATCTGTGTCATACAAACATTTTTTTTCTCTTTGAAAGGCCACGTCCATTCCAAATTTCTCCTACATGGGAGCTCGCCTGTGTAATTACCTGTCCCATCACCTGACAATTAGCTCACAGAGTGGCAACTTCCGCCAATTGCTACTTCAAAGGTCAGTGTGAATATGTGACATTAAAGAAAAACTACTTCTGAAGGTACTAGAATTTGTTGCTCTTTACCAAAGACTGTACAGTGTAGAAAGTTGCCGGGCAAGCTTATAGTTATATAGTCTTTTTGTAGTGGGCTCTGCCTTTGGTTTCGTGCTTCGTTAGAAAAGCCCTTCCTTTCCCCAGTTCTTAAAAACAATCACATATTTCTTAGTACTTTCGTACCTGTTTTGAACAAGGATCTGATTTTTATTGCCACGAGTTCAACCAGTGTTTCCCCTACCACTCTTTTGAATGATCCATTTCCCTATTGGTTTGAACTGCTTCTACCTTCATCCCACTGTGTCCTATTTGGGTTTTGACTCTAATAGTCCATTCTCACTTGTTTTATTACCGTACTGTTTAAAAGCTCTAATTTTTTCATGCTTAGTCTAGTTAGTCCCCATGGTTTTGTGGAATTCTCTTTGCTCTTCTTGCCTGCTTATTTTCTCCAGTGAACTTCAGGATCAGCATGTGAACTATACAGCCTTTGTTGGTTTTTCGTAGATATTTTGGGGATGACGTTGAATTCATAAGCTAATTTGGGGGAGCTACTTATTCAGTAACAAGGCTGTCTCTGAGTTGATTATAGTTTGCACATTAGTTCTTTAGAGATACTTTGGACGGTTGCACAATATTCCACCGTGTGATTAAAGCGAGCAGGAGCAGAATGAAGGTAGCAGAAATCACTTCACGTGAAAATCAAGCTTTAGCCGAAGGTGGTGCTTCAGGTCACGTACTCGAGATAGTGTGCTGGGAGCGGGGCAACAAAGCAAAGATGGGCTCCTGGCTCTTCACACCAAAATATGTTTCAGATAGAGCAAAGATGTACATGCAAGGAAGACAGTAAATACTAGGGGGTTCACTGGCCAACAGAAATCTTAGGCTGGTAAAGCCCTTTAAAGCAAGACATGATACCACAGGCCCTAAAGCAAGAGATTAAACTTAATTACACGCAGGTTATAATATTTTGGGTGTCATAAGTTTATATGAACTAAAGTAAGACTAGGAAGACATATAGCGCATGGTAATGAGCTCACTTAACATGAAAAGAGGGGCCTCTTAGGAATGAGTAAGGCAGAGACCAGTATTTTAATGGAAATATTTGGAATGGCTCCAAATGGGTACAGTTTGGAAACATGTAAATGACAAAGTTATGAAAAGATATCCTAGCCTCCCTGTAGGTAAAGAAACGCAAATTAAAGCTTCTGGAAAGGCATGAGAGCAGGCACGCCGGGGGGTAGGGTGGCAGGAAGGCTCGCTGATCTCAGTGGCGCAGCCCCAGCCATGCGGTGAGAGAGGGCTGAGCCCCTGCCCCACTCGGGGAAATTCTAACGTCATGGACTGAGGTGGAGCCCAGCATGATTTTTTAAAGCTTCCCAAGTGATTCTACTGTGCAGCGTGGTTGAGAAGCCCTCTTCCGAGCCCTTTGACTCTGCCCCATGTGTGCTTCTGTGGTAGTGATACTCTCAAAGATGTGAACAGGGAAAATGCTAATCATAGAACTAGTGAAAAGCACACTTGAAAAAGACAAGTTACTTTCACAGCAGTTATCCCTGGGTTGCAGTGACTTTGTTCTGTATTTTTCTCTGCTCTAACCTTTCTGAAATAAGCATGTGTTACTTTTATAACTGAAACTCTTTAGCTTAAAAAGGTTTAGGTTCTTTGCTCTCACCTAGACAATCAGCCACATGCAGGAGTAGGAATTTGCTTTTGCACATATATTGACATATTTTAATGCATAATAGTCTAGCATTTATAAAACAAAAGGTCATTTCAAAGATTTCACCTGCAAAGTCGTAAAAGAAAGGACAGAAAGGAGAGCAGCCAACGAGGTGCTTGGGTAACCGAGTTGGCATTAATTAACCAATCCTTTCCATTATTAACCGCAGTGTTCTATTTATAGATATCCCAGCTTTTTCCTGGTGAGGAATTAGTATGTATGAGAAGGTAACACATACCTTCTGTCTCTGACTTGTACAGAAACTTCTCATTTACTACAGCTTGTAAGCCACGTGGGCGCCCAATGAGCTGTCCTGGGTGTATTTACAGTTGGCTCGTAAACTGATCCACAGTATATTTTTGGTCAAGGAATGACTTCTTTTTTTCTTCAAAGAAAGTTGCTTTACAAAGCCACCCAAACTGGTCCTTCATGAATGACATAAGCTCCTCCCTTGGTCTTCAGAAGAACCGTCAAGATCAATTTTATAAAACACAGTTTTCCCACCTCATCACCACCTTACTAATAAAGATGAGGCAAGATATTTAACACCCAAATGGTAACTGTCCATTTAAAAATCCGTGTTAGCTGTAGCTGACCCCCTAATTCACTGGCATGGCAGCGACAGGCTCCTGCGATGGATTAGACCTTGTGGGAACTATGTCCATAAAGCTCCAAGAGGATGGTTTCTTTTTGTCACTTAGTAAAGCAAATGGGCCAGGTCGAGGGGAAGTAAGTTGACTCCTTCAGCCTCTGTTAGAAATAGAGACCAACTTAATTGATTTCTATGTGTCTGTGTAGTTAGGGACTTTGCCCCTTATTTCTCTTCTCTGATTTATATAGTGGAAATTACAAGGATAAATGGGCTTAATAAGAATTTATTTTATTTTCAGCTAAGTTGGAGGAGGCCATTTTTATATATTTTTAAAGATTTGTTTCAAAGCTCATATATTAGAAAGAGTAGAACATTTTACAGACACACCTTGGATAAAAACAGTGCCAGTACATCTGAACCTTATGAAACGTATGTTGTTTAAACTTACTACAACTTGATCTGATAGGTTTATTTTCAAGTATTTGTATCAGTTTCTTAAAACTAGGCATCTCGGTATGAAAAGATGAAGCGTAGTCTGGTCTCTGCATAGACAGGAACACTTTTTATCATAGAAGGTCAGGGCCTCGGTGCATTGCACTTGCCTCTGTATTGCTTGTGGGCAACCAGACCAACAAATGGTCATCTTGTTTGACTATTTAAAAAACAAAGCAGTAAGAGCTTATAAAGGTTTCTCTCTGTTAGATGTCGGACTGAGTATGAACTTAGAGATCAAGCTGCGAAGGGGGATGAAGCTACTCGAAAACGGTTCCATGCGTTTGTGCTCTTCCTGGGAGAGCTTTATCTTAACCTGGAGGTGAGACCTTTTCTTTTGTTACGTGCTTTTGTTACGTAAAGCTTGAGAACAAATTGATCTCAATAAGGAATTTGTGTTTACATTATACTTTTACAGCATTAAGAGTAAAATGGGAGAGAGAGAAAATAGTGCCCACTTGGGGGAGTCTGTACCCTACGGGAACATCTGTTTTCCTCTGTGAAGACAGGGTGTTGGGAAGTAGTTTCTGGGCATTTTAAAGTCTTCGTGTACTTTTGGAAAGCCGCAGTGCTCCGTGCGTGTTTAACCTTTGAAAATGGAGACATGCGTACTTTTTTGGATTCTTCCATCAGGAACATTAGTACTTATGATGTGTTGACATTCGGGTGTCGGCTGAAAAGCAGCTTGACCTACAGAACACACAGCTTTGAGCAAAGAGGGGAGAGACTGGAGTTTATGATTTTTACACCTAATTCACCCAGATTAGTTCTCAGTCCTATTTTATATGTTAATCTTCCACATAAAATGCATTTGTACAAAGGGTACAGCTAGACTTGTTTGTAAATTGGCACTATACATGTGAGCCTGTGCATGTCAGTAGGCAACTTCAGTGCTAGGTAGTACTTCGTAAGAGATGTTTGATTGGTCCTTTGACTAGTTAGTCTCGGATACAGGTTTATCTCCTTAAACCCTGACTTGAGGACTTAGCACCGTAACCACCACTGAAAAGACACAAGTCCACGATCCAGTGTGCGTCAGTGCACCTAAACGTCTACATCCAATCTAGTGCCTAATTTACTGTCCCTTTTTACCACAGGGGGCTCAATTTTATAAAACTGGGATGTCTAAATCTCATTCATTTTAGTTGTTATATAAGCCAAAACAAGAGCACCAGCCTAAATGTGCCTCAAACGGAGGCCATTTTTAGACGCCATCGCGTCCTCTTTGGAAGTACTGGTGTTGTGGGGGGTGGAAGGTCAGGCATGGCTCTGGAACCTAAAATTCTCCCCGCCAGAGAGCCAGGACACACATACCATGCTCATGCAAAACCCGAGTATTTTAAAACAATATACAAATAGCAGAGTAAAATGCTGTGTGTTCCCGAAAACTATGGTAGCTTAATAAACTAGAGATGCTTCGTGAAGCAGTAACATTCAAGGAGGCTTACGTATCTGGACCATATGTTACCTGTGATAAATGAAAAATTTTACCTGTAGCGTACTAGTTTTATTAGAAATCTTAGTTACATGTAAGTAAGCCTAATTTTGCAAAGATATCGGAGTGTGTTTCTGTGATTTTTGTATTTTAATTTAAAATACCAACACTATTAAATCATATATTTGTCTGTATTATGTTTTGGCATAGTGGCTTTTCATTTTCTTTTGTCCCAAAAGATCAAAGGAACAAATGGACAGGTTACAAGAGCAGATATTCTTCAGGCTGGCCTTCGGGAGCTGCTGAATGCCCTCTTTTCTAACCCTATGGATGATAACCTCATTTGTGCGGTAAAGTTACTGAAGGTAGGTTTTACTTTTTTCTTTCCTTGAAGTGTAATTGTTCTACCCCTTTAGCATATAGTTTGGAGAAAGTATGTATAGTACACAAATGAATTCAACATTGTTATTACATTAAATATTGACATTTTACTTTGCTCTGGAATTTAAATATTGGAAAAGCAATATATACTTAATGTACGAAGCAGATTTTAGAAGTGAGACGTGGAAGTCCTTCACTCTACCCCTTCCTTTCCCACGTCCGTAGGTGTGTCTCATAAGTACCATCTTACTCTGTGGCTGCCTTTTTACCACCTGCCAAAGGTCTAGCTCTTTGTGCGGCGCACAGATTCTCCTGCAGTAGCTTCCCAGGATCCCGCTGTTCGCAGGCACGTTGTTTCTCCATCATCATCGAACAGCTGGATTATTTCTGCTGTAGTTCATTCGTTTCTTTCAGTCAAGAAAAACGTAGAAGGTATTGAGATATGCGAGTGTTAGATGGTAGAGAACAACTGGGAATGTTTAACCTGCTTAAGGAACACTCTAAGTGCCACTGTTACATTCTTAGGACACCTGCTGACTGGCTGCTGCATTTTTCTACCCTGTGTTCAGTTGACAGGCTCGGTGCTGGAAGACGCCTGGAAGGAAAAGGAGAAGGCGGACATGGACGAGGTGGTCCAGAGGGTCGAGAACGTCGTCCTGGACGCGCACTGCAGCAGGTGGGGCCCGTCCTCGCTCCGCCTGGAGGGGCTTGACTGGCGCCCTTCGCCAGAGCAGTGGAAACCTTGCGCACCAGGCCACACGCACGCTTCCTTTAGCAGCGTAGTGCCTGCCCGTGGCCTTTGTCGCTGGCTGCTTCCCTTCCCTCTCCTGTAAGAGCTGGGCGAAGTCTGTTCCAAGTCCAGTGGGAAACACAACAGTGTTTGCAGGATGGCCACTACCTTTGAGAACCATGTAGTTAGTTATGGAACAAATTTCAAAGCTATTTTTTTAAAAAAGGGTGAATTTGTGTCATTATAGGAAATGCCTGGAAAATCAAAGCGTTGAATGTACATGGTAAATTGATGAGGCCGTGTTAGGAGTCTGGTGTTAGAGCCCCACAGCACTGGTGGATGTACTTTCACTCTTTTCCATTTCTGTCTGCAGAGACGTGAAACAGATGCTCCTGAAGCTTGTGGAGCTCCGTTCCAGTAACTGGGGTCGAGTGCATGTAACCTCAACCTACAGAGAAGCAACACCTGAAAACGATCCTAACTATTTTATGGTATGCTGGTGGTTGCTGTTCAACTTGTGCTTGTTGCTTGAATTCAGTTTTGGCAATTTCTACATGAGTTACATAAGTTGTTCCCAGAATTTAATGCCTAATAACTCTTCACTGGCTTAGGGTCACCTGGCAGCAAGCAGAGCAGGTGAATAGAAGGAACATGGGACCCTCCCATGACAGGTTGGACTAGAGAAAAGTCCATCCAGGGCAAGGGAAATAGGACTGGGACTTAGGAGAGCGTAAGGATTCCAGGAAACAGTTTTTCCAAGGAATTCATAACAAAGGCCTGCATCTCAAACTTTTACTTTGCATGTTGTCATAAAGTAAATTAAGAAAATAAAAAACGGTACCAGGCCAGTGTTAAGAAAATAAAAAACGGTACCAGGCCAGTGATCCCTGAAGCTCCCAACATGAAGAAATGTAACGTAGCTATGGAGGAATTGCTCCTACACCCCCAGTCTCAGAGATGCTCAAGGAGAAAAGTGGTGGGGAGGGGGAACCACAGCTAACACTGAGTCAACGCCGAGTCCCACTGCACAGCAGAGCAGAGCAGTTCACCAGGAGTGACAGGCGTAGACGCAGTGTGAGAACAAGGCTCAAGATGATAGAATAAATCTGAAAACCAGAGGCTTTCCCGGTGAAATGGCAATGGCTGCTGGGAGGCTTGTGTTTGCTCTTGCGCTGCATTATCAGGTTCAGGTGGGGCACATAGGCCATGCTTCATTGATAATGGGCTTTAAAAAAATCAACTTTGAAATGATGACATATCTTTATCACTCTGTTCCATCCTAGAATGAACCAACATTTTATACATCTGATGGTGTTCCTTTCACTGCAGCTGATCCAGGTATCGTGTCTCACGGTCTTTTCCCCCATTCTTTGGTAAGATAGTAAATTACAGAAAGCCATCTCCTTACCAGCACTGAGTTGCAGCTTTTCGAGGAGTTCACATCATTCCAAAGTACAGGGTGAAGGCTTGTGTTATATATAGTGTTCTTCACAGCAACCACTAGGAACCATTTTAGATGGACTGTCTGCTCAGTGTTTACCGCCCTGTCCCCTTAGCAATGAAGGATTGGAAGAATCCCTCAATTAAATGCAACCGGTTTTATTTTGTATTTCCCCTAGTATTTTGTTTTTCTGTTCTGAACTTTCAGGTGATTAGAATGGAAGGAAGAGATGGTTCTAATTACTACATAGTTAGCAGCTTTCATTAATATGGGTTAATACTTGCAGATACTGAGAATTACAGGTTTCATTAACACTTGGTGGGTGAAAGTTAATTAAAATCTAAACCTCTGTACACTTCCCCTTCCAGAAAAGGACATTGTAGAAGCATTACTTTAATTGGGATAAATGGGACTGCAGTGTGAGCAAGAGAGAGACTTTCCCATTTGGTACAAAGTACAGCCAGCTTATGGTCAGCATTTCCCCACTTGTCCCTCTGGGTAGCAGGCCTAACTGTCCCTCCTGCAGCACGCTGAGACGGGAAGGAGGACTGGGGACCTAACATCCATCTTTAAATTATGAGACATTCAGAAAATATAAAAACCACACAAAACTCTCCTTGATTCATAGTCAAGATTAAACCAAGGTCATTTTGCCATATTGCTATATACTTTGGATCTTTTTAAAGAAATAAAACCCTGCAGATACTACTAAGCCATTTTCCCTTGTCACTGATCCCTCACCCCCAAGTTCAGTCCTTCCGTCACCTCTCCCAGAGGTAACTGCTGCCCCAGGTTTGTATCCTTGTGGTGTCTTTTCACTTCCTACGTGTCTGTAAACTACTGGACTGGCGCACACAGTGGTAGTAACCCAAATGGTGTCTCACTGTACACGACCCTTTGCAGCTTACTTTTATTCAGTATTATTTTTGGTATTTACCTGTGTTGATATTTGTTGCATGGGTTCATTTATTTTAAATGGCTCATAATGCTCCACTCAGGCTAACCCACAGTGTAGCTCCCCTGCTGTGGGGTCGGGTGGGCCACACTTGTTCGCACAGACATCTTTAAGTCGTGTGCCCGCAGGGGCTTCTCTGGGGTGAGGAGGCGGAGTTGGCGCGTTACAGGCCGCGCGTCCTCAGCTTTGCTGAATGTTAGGCTGCTCTCCAGGGCGATCGCGCCACTTAGTGTGTCCAGCGTGCGAGGGCTCCCAGTCCTCACCCTTGGCAACACTTACTGTTGCCAGGCCTAATTTTTGTCAGTCTGATTGTATGAAATTGTGAGCTGTTATTTGATTTGTCCCTTTGGGAATGGCCTGTCAGTGTCCGTGCCCGTTTCTGTCGGAGCCTTTGTCTTGTTGCTTGTAATTCCTTGCGGAGCCTGGAAAGTGACCCTCGGTCAGCTTTTCCCAGTATGTGCTGCCCTTCCCTTTTGTTTATCTAGCATATAGAAGCTTTCGGTTTAATGTAGAGTAAATTATGTCTTGTTTGCACTCTCTGTGACTTAGTTTCCTCACTACTAGCAAATCCCATTTCCTTCTGTAAATCTCCCGATGCTTTATGTTCAGGTCTTGAATCCGCAGGCTGGTTTTCTGTGTGGGCTGTGGCGGGGGTTACGGATGTTTTCCTTCGTCTCCCCTGTCGACAGCAGGTGTTGAGCCGTCCTTCGTCCTGGGCAGCCTGCCTCTGCACCGTGCACCTCTGTAAGCTCGCCCTGTTCCGTGTCTGCACAGGGTCTGTCTGGTCTGTCAGCTCTGACACCGCACTCTTTATCAGTCTGACCTTGCTGTAAATCTGCAGATTTTCCTTCTTCCCCCACTCTTCAGAGTTACTTGGATTCCTGTGGTTCTTTGTTCTTCATCTCTGTCGGGTCCGTTACACCGTCATTTGTTCTGTCCACACTTACGTTCTCTGTTCTCAGTCCCTGGATTGCACATGTGGTAGCCTTTTTTGGTGACNGGTGACTGTTCCTTGTTTACTTGCCCTTTTGTTTTTCTTCATGAAAACTTGTGTTGGACTGTAGGAGCACCTATCCAAAGTGGGTTTTATATTTGCTCCTGCCGGGAGCCCCAGGAGTAACATTGGCCTAGAACAAGTTTTTACTTTCTTGTCGTAGGGGTTTTTCTGTGGGTAATAACAAGTCGAGGTGCAGGCCCATTGTTATCAATTCTCTGGGGAACCAGAGTACTCTCTCCCCACTCCAAACCCAGACAGACATACCACACTCCTTTGCCACTGAGGTGTTTTGCAGTTCTTTTTTCCTGGTCCATCTTTTGCTTGAGAGATCAGCCCTTTGAATGCCCTGGGTTTGTGCAGAGTGAGATGAGTGTGGGGCGTGAATTCCGTCTTTCTGTTTCATTGGGCCCAGACCTTTCATTCTGGCCTGTGGGTTTTAAATCTGAGCCCATTTGTTACCACGTGGTCCACCAGCCTCCCAGCTGCAGTCACTGTGGTTTTCAGTTCCCCTTTGTTCTGTCACCGGGTGACTTGATGTTTTTTGTGAACTTACTTGTACTTTAAAAGAATGTTCCTTTCCTGTTAGCTCAAGTATTTGTCGGAGGTAGGTTTTATAAGTTAAAATAGTCTCCAAATTGCCAAAATTGAATGTCAAAATATTGCTAACCCTTTAAACTGGAATTAAAGTCTTACAGAAACTGCCAATCTTGAAAAAGTGGGGTCTTTACCCAGTCAAATAGAATTATCCTCTTGAAATTTGAGGTGGCTGTTGTTCATAAGAAACTAACTTTAAGGTAACTAGTTTTAATACACACTGATCCATTTTATTATTCAAAGGTAAGGACACCACGCAGACATGCTGTTCTTACAAGATACTCAGTAGCTGTGCCTAAGCAGTTGGCAAGTAGAGAGCTACACTGTCTCCTGTATTGCCTAGGGAGAGCCCACCGAGGGAAGGGGTACAGCCGAAACATTCATCAGGCAGCTGCCTTCCAGCTGTCCCCAAGGACACAGCAGAAAAGAAAGTGCCCTACACTGGGCCCCTGTGTTAGGGTGGCCTCTGCTGACTGAGGAACGTGGATCGGTGGCTGTCGTCTGGCAGCCAGATAGATAGCTCACTTACGTCCTTGGGGAGGAACAGCAGAGCCAGAAGCCAGGATGTTTAATTGAATCTCCTTGTGGAAGGAAAACAGGAGGGAATGGAGAACACATTCGTCCCCAACAAGCTATGTAGCCGGCATTTTGTCTGACGGAGAGAAGCAGGGCGTGTAAGCAGCATACACGGGCTGTGATATGTTCTCTGGTAGATGCGCACTGGCTTTGACTTCCCGCTTGCGTGTAGAGGAATGTGTGTATGACTGAGATTCATGAGCACACGGGGCAGAAGCAAGCCAATTAGAACATAAGTTTTATAAAACCTATTCTTAAATATGCAATTAAGCTTGCTTACTAGATAAAGAAACAAAGCTTACTGCTATTTAAACTTTAGTTCTACTTAAATGAGAAGTCATATTAGAATTTCTTAGGAATAACTAGCCGTTCCATGTGAATTTTTTCAGCATTCAATTTTTTTCTTTATTTTTTTTGTAGATTACCAGGAGAAATATCAAGAGTTACTTGAAAGAGAAGACTTTTTCCCAGATTATGAAGAAAATGGAACAGATTTATCAGGGGCTGGTGACCCGTAAGTTCTCTTTAGCTACTAACTTTTTTGGTGAAATTTCTGTGGCCACAGCTTGTAGAAAAAAGTAGATAATGAAAGAGTGTGCATTTTGATTTGATGGTGTTATAGTGATATATGTGTAGTACTTATTTACCAAAAGTTTTCAGATAATTATGTTGGAAAGCCATGATCTTTTAAATTTATCTGTAGATGAGGGAGAAAACTATTAAAATGTAGTATACTCAAGCATAATTTGTTTTTATAAAATAGATTCTATTTTTATGCCTAAGACTTTAAAATAAGCAGCTGTAATACTGTGAGATCTTGGGCAAGTTCTGTACCTGTTTGTCCATCTATAAACTAGGAATAGTAGTATTCCTCCTTGAGACTTTTGAGAACTAAAAGAGAACACGTAACTGTTCTGGACAGAGCCAGAAGGCTCAAATCTTAGCTGTTAAAGGATAAATTAAGATCAAAGTGAATTACTCTATAAAAATGTTTGACTGATGGGAAGAGGTAAGTTATGGTCCTATTCTCATATTTCAGTGTCTTTGTTTTGTTGTTGTTGTTGTTTTTATAGATGTCCCCTTTTTTCCCCCATTGATCCCCTCCACCCCGCATCTACCCCACCCCCAGGCTTTCCCCAGACCAATGTCTGTGTTCATAGGTTGTGCATATAAGCATATAAGTTCTTTGATTAATCTCTCCCCACCCACTCCCCCACCCCCGCCTTCCCTCTGAGATC